CATATAGGGATGCCTTATTTTTACACGACTAGGATCGTTACGTGCACCCGGTTATCTCTACTGCGTCTGCACGTTTAAACATTATCATTAAAACCTTCAGGTTTACAGATATCAGTCATTCTAAGAAGACAGAAAAGTTTTAATATCTACGGGTCAAGTATGAGATATCAACTACAGGTCGTTTCAGTATTTCATTATTCAGATTGAATAAATATTATATTTGAATAACAATGCAATAGAGCTTGTAGTGCTATATAATACTGTTAGAAAAAAAATATGTCTGATTTTACCAAATATTTTTAAGAGTGACATAATCCTACGCAGGGCGTTACTACGGACGTGCGTAAAATACATGTCCACTGTCGAAAACAACACGTACGTAGGATTACCAAACGCACACGTTCGAACCACCCGGTATATTTTTAAATTACGCTACTCTGACGTAACCCATTTTTTCTTCCCCAACCAAATTTATAGCTCTCGATTACAACGAGACCAGGTGACAATAACACGATTTTACAGAACAAATGGCATTCGCGAGATCATTTGTTTTCGAGTCAGTACGATTCTCTACGTAAATTTAGCGGAAATCCATAGCGCCATAGAGGCAGAACCATGAACTACGATGAAAATGCGCAGCGAACTAAAATTCACGGTTCGAAGTTCACATAGTCAAGAGTTGTATGAACGTTTAATCATTCTTTAAGGTCAATCCTTAGAATCATTATTATTTTCATATTGATCAGAGGTTATGTAACTCCGAGGGGATGCACTTAGATAAGGATTTTAATATCATTAGATTTATTTATGCATTCGATTAATTTAATCTATTGATCGACTGAACAAGTACAACGGAATACGGGTCATACATAATCGATTCTACTACGACATGCTAAACTCACCTCTCTTGTAAATTGCTGACCCTGAACTTAAGTTGAAAAACGCGAACGTCACGAAAGCCACACTCACGTGGACTTCTACACGCGTGCTAATGTACCTTTGCTTACAGTACATGCATATACATCCCTCTGAAAACTCCTCAGGGTTGATGGCGAGTAGCTGCTTCGGTGCTGTTACATACGCGTCCGGCTTTTCAAGGAAACCGGATAACATTTGCGTCTTCCGCCTTTTGGCAAAGGTCTGCACGTGTTCACGTGATATTTTCTACTTTGATTCACTGGTAGTTTCCGACGTTACGATGAAAATCTTTTCGTAGGATTCACGTACCGGGTAGATCGTTAGAGTTTGTCGGTAATTATATGTTTTAGATGCGATATGTAAAATTGAATGATTGATCTCATAGAAATTGAGTGAAAACCCATAGGCTAACGATACTTTTTGCATAGTGTAGTAACAATTAAATATCTTTTTGACAGATCTCACTAGCGCCATCTTCGAACCTAGAATGACTTTGCAAGCTTTGCAGGTAAGTGAAATCTTCCTTCCTTATCGACAAGATAAATGCGGTTCCTGCAAAGGAATGTCGAACGCTAAACAACAGACGGTATGCAATGAGATATTTAAAAAGTATGACTTTTACTAAAATTATAGTTTCCCATTTCTAGAATAAAAATCCTATGCCATCATCAGAGACTTTTGAGCTTGCAGCATTCACGAAGCTTCCTCAAAGTATCTAAGCAGACCTCTGTGGTTCGTTCCTATCCTCGGGTAGTGCTGCCATCTATGAAATTATTCAGTTCCTTCAAAAAGTAACGACAAAGATCTCGTATTTCATTATCATCTTTAAAAAGCTTTTTCGGAAAATTACTTCGGGCCAAATATATGGAGGAAGTCATCGTCCAAATGCTTCACAATAATTTATTCAACTTCATCGAGTCAATACTGTTTCTTCCGACGCAGCGATGACCGAGCACGCAATTGTTCATAAAACTCTAATTCAATTCCATTAAAAGTCCACAAGGCACTGACTTGCATTTTCATGGCGAGTGACAGCTGCTCAGATAGTACCACATTCTCACGTTAAATTCTCTACTTACAAGTTGGCAAAATGTTTGCCCACGTTACGTGGAATAAGTTTTCCGGCAGATCCTCTTAGTCGAAGTGAACTTACCCAGTTCATGCTGATGGAAAGCAATGTACTTAAATACATTATTTAAGATCCAGATTTAAAGAGAAAAACAAAATGGTGATCACGGTCTATGTAAGTTGTAAAATAGAAAAAGAAAACCTAGAGCTCAAATTGCTATATGTACCCTATATCAATTGTTGGCTTCTTCTTGGAAGTCCAGAACAGGATTATTACTCGGTTGGGGAATGACCGAGTGGTTTAATGGGGTAACGAAAGGTGGAAAATTCTTGATCCTACAAGCCTTCACGGCTGCCTATCTGACAGAATGAAATGCTGCTTGATAATTAAACACTTCCCAGCAGATGTGCCTTCCCGTTACGGACTCAGGTTATGAACCATCCTTGTTCGTTCTTTTCCTTTGCTATTCTCCTGGGATACTTTATGCTCTCATAATATTTTTATTTATGCGTTATTTACTATTTTTGGTGTACATGTTTTGGTTATAACTATGGTTAGTATAATCTTCGCTGAATGATTTTTACAGAAAAATATGGACGTTTAAACAGTGCGGGAAAGTTTTTTAAATTGTCCATGGACATTTAGCGAAAAAGATAGATTCAGAGAAAGAGGTTAGTTTAAATGGAAATCTTAATATTATTGTAGACTAGCGTTTGTGACATCAGTGAACGCTTTGTTCGTTTCTCTGTTTAATTTCCACTGAATGAATCAATGAATTTCAAATTCCTACTTGAAACTCACCCTGTCCGGTCAAGGTTAATTTAATCCTGACGAAGTATCTGTTTCCGGTACTTAATAAGATTTACTCAAATTTGTCTTATGTTTCGCAACGGGTTTTCATTTGTCTATGAATTCATTATCTTTCTAGATACATTTCCGATATTTATGTGAATTCGTATTTTTTTACAACCACCTATTTTTATACGTTTCTTTATCGGGATCCTAAAACAATATTTTTTTAGTAGCTCTGTTCATCCTCTTTCATATGGACGATAACAGATAGATATACGGTTGGTTTTCGAGAAAATAAAACTAATAAATTATTAATTAAAAATATACCACAGAACTACAAGTTATGAAGTATAACAGAAAACAAGTAGTTTCAGCTTTACGTGTGAACTTAATTTATTTTTAAGGACATTCGTCGATATCAAATTTTTAAAAATCTCTCAACCCCCAAAACAAGTTACCCGTCTACCGTAACGTCTAGCCACTTCGATTACCTGTCAAAAAATGCCTCAGTCTTAGAATCGTAATGAATATCCTTCCAATAAGAGAAATGTGAAAAGGGGGTGGAAAGAGTTAAAACGAAAAAAAAAATAATCCCCAAAAGCGATTGCGAGGGTGAAAAAGAGAGATATAAGAAATTCCATAGAAATGGCGAAGGGTGGGGAGGGTCGGCCCGCAAAGCGATATCCGTTGAAATAGTACAGTAGCTGGATTCGTGGAATGAACGAGAAGAGGGTAAAAAAGGAGGCAAAAAAGAAAAGTATAAAAGAAGCAAAGGGTTGAAAGAAAGCAGTAAAGAAGAAGAAGAAGAAGAACAAGAAGAAGAAGGTACAGAATCGGATATCTTGGGAAGGAAAGGCATTTCGGATAAGAATCTCTCGAAGCGGTTTCACCCTCGTAACGACCTACTACCCCTAGCCCACTGCCACCACTACCCCCTCTCTAAGAAGACTTAGTAGCTTCGAAACTCCAACGTAATTCGGTGGCTCCTTTCTAAAATCTAGCAACTCTCAAGAAACTACCCTTTTCAGCCAGAGGGGTAGGATCGATCGCACCAGTCTTTCAAGGATACCGGAAATCCTCCATAATCGAGGAAACTCGTTTACGCCCCCGCCCCCCTACGTCATCCTAGCCCTCCAAGCCAAGGCCAACTTAAGATACGTTCATAAGGCGGCCGCCGATCGGCGACCTCTTCGACAGGCGCCCACCGTCTATAAATACAGGAGACGCCACTATTTACCCTTGAGCATCGAACACGGGGGTGGCTTTGCACCCTCCGATGCCTCTCATCACCGTACAGCACACAGCGTGTCCAAAGCGTCCCCTATCCTATGCGAGACCCAACGATATCGAGTGGAGCTTGCATGCGCTTAATCTGCACGATGAATCAGGTTTCGTCCAGCCAAGGTCAGCATCCCCTAACCACCATCAAATGCACCCTGTGACGTACCATCGATTCTTGTTCAAGTGCCGCAACTTTCGAGGTCTGCCTATATATCGATTGACTTGTCAATAACCTCCCCTCGTACTTCTTATCAACCTACCCCATCATCGGGGCAAGCTTGATTATCTGCAATTTTCTTTCCCCGAGGTCACACTCTCAGAACCACCTCAGGGGATGATTTTACTGGGAATCAACCACTTCGATCTTTTTTATCAGCTATCGGACCAAGTGTCATAGATATTATCTTTTATAAATCTCTGCCACTTGGTTCATTTCAAATCACTTGCCACCCCTAAAATATCATTCAAGGCCTACCGACCGCTCACGCGTGCAGTTAACGAGAAGATCTTTGGCCGGTGTGCCCACCTCAGAATTGATGACCCTGTACACTGGTGTTTGTACGGGCGGCCGGGTAACCGTGTAACTTGCTCATGTCCGTAGAGTTTATATCGGCTGCTCCGCTAGGTACATGCAGAACGTGCTGCTATGTGTAGGGGTTGCTGCAATGCGCAACGGCTACAGGCTAGGGCCATCCCAGTTTCCACCCCTGTATTTAGGGCTTTTTCGAAAGTAACGTAACACCCGTTAGACGTATAAAACACCATTCCAGTAGCATGATAAATAAGACGGGATGGGAGGTGGAGAGGGATTACGAAAAGATAAAAATACCGTCCAAGGAGCGGCAAGGTCTTTAGACATTTTTCTGATTGATCCATCGTCTCGTACCCGTGCAAAAAATTGACATCAAATACAGCCGGGACAGTGACGTCTATGAACACGTTCAAAAAACAATCTTTATTTCGACCGATCTTCGTTAAATAATTCATAACAAAAAGAAACGTGAACATTTAAAATACAATCGCATTTGGCTACCATCGTGATAACTATACAGTGATCTCTTTTGTTTTTTCTTTTTTTTTTTTATACATTTACTATTTACAAGACATTCAGCATACCTCGATTAGATCCTTCTTACATGATGTGTATTATGCGTTTATTAATTAGATATACTGTTTGCGCCTTACAGAGAGGGAGGAGAGACGATGCCGACTTAACGCGTAAAGGTATATATATATGTATATATGTACTATATAATAATGCGTTGGTGCGTATGTATATATTATGTACGTATATACATATATACCTCTATATTAGTTTTTCACATACCCACGTACATATTCTCGTCTTTATACGATAACACACTTGATTGTCTATGTTGCCTGCGTGCAAATACTTTTGTTTTTGCTTTTATTTTCATTTTTGTTCTTTTTTCGTTTCTCGTATTTATTACATTTCACGCACGAGACCTGTTTCGCCATCTAGGATTTCCTTCCGGTTTCTCGTGGGTGTTCGCTTTGTTTTCTTTTTTTTCTTTTTACTTCCTATTAATTTTCTCATACATATATGCAGTGTGAGGCGTCATCGAGCGTGAAAATATAAATAATTAATAGATTCGCTGAGCACTGATGATCATTCGGCAATATTATATAGCACTGTGTAATATTTGTATACCGAGTTACGTTCACCCGAAGAATATTGATCCCGCCATAAAATGGTAGCTAATTGATTCGCTGTAAGTGAGAAGCAAATAGGCGTTTTCTCTTGGTAGAGGAAGAAATTAATAAAAGGGAAAAAAGAGAAAATAAAAGGCAATCCGAATACTCGAGACGAATAAGAGAAAAATGATTATTCTTGTAGAACGATAAATTAGAACGAAAAATATTATCCGTGTTATCAATCAATTTTTCGGATCGTGCTTATCATTCACTGCTAGAGTAATTATCTGGTTTAACATTTTTTTTTCTCAAATTCAAACAAATCTTTTTTGAGCACAGATACTTGTCTTGAGTCAAATATTATCATTGGCCAATAAAGAATAAGATAATTCGATATTCTCTCTCTCTCTCTCTCTCTCTCTCTCTCTCTCTCTCTCTCTCTCTCTCTCTCTCTCCATAAAAAATATATCAACGTCATTTACAATAAATCCCATCAAACATACAGGATCCCGTTAAATAAAAATACGAAAAAAAAAAAATTGAAAATATTTTTTATAGACATTTTTAATTTGTACTACAGTAATATCTCATCATTCTCTCTGCATAGGTGACTGTTCGACTCGTAGGTCACGTGGGGAGTATACCGATGCATTTTATGCATTAAAGTTGAAAAGGTAAAATGCATAATTTATATTTCACTAATAACTGACAAGTACGGCGTGCACGTTGCAATGATAAGATAAATGATTTTCATTCGCCCGTTAAATTCATTGATAACTTCATATGGGTGATACGTGTATCTACATTGACTGTATCATGTATCGTACACACAAATAAAACACAGTAATGTTCGCCGTACGAGTCTTTAGATATAACAATGATCGAATTAACCGATTGATCGATCCGCTGCATCGGGAAGACTATGCGAGTGTTAGTAGTCATTTGAAAAATATCATTTAGGTACGCTGGATATATGTTACACGTATGTTATTTTTTTCTTCTAATGACAGTGAGATTTAGATTTCATTTCTATGTCCGGTCGATTTTGAATCGTGAATTATCAGTATTGGTCTCTTTTTAGATAAATTGATAAAAAGTGCATACGCATTGTGCAATTGATGCATTGATATAATTGGATAAAAATAAAATTCAAGAAAATATGCAATGCTTCTTGAGGACGCATAGCTACCACCCTAACCCACTTGTATTTTGGTTTATAGTAAAAACCGTGAACTTTGAACTTACCTCTATTTTTTTCAAAATCAAACGAATAGGGTGTAACGACCGTGTATAAATTACAGGGTGTACGGGGGTACGTTATAAATGCAAGGGCTAATTAAAAAGAAACGAAGGCTGACTTTAATTAGGGTAATAGATAATTGATCTCTATCGATAAGAACCCTCGAGCTTACGAATATACAATTTCGTGCAGGTTTAATTGATAGTCCGGATTTTATTTTTACCCGCGACGGGTATCTGTGATCGACGCCCGGCGTCGGCACGTGCGACGTCGCTGGAAAATACGTTGCACGCGTATCGCCGAACCATAATTAAATACGTATATTTGCCACGGTAAGGGTATGGTAATATTTTTTTTACGACTATAAAGGGAAAATATAAAAGAAATCGGTATATCGTATATATCCGTTTTGTGCGTATATCACTTTTTATCAATTATTCTAGCCTTATATGTGCGTACATATTATCAGTAACATATCACTTGTAATCCATTCACGCATTTTCCAGTAAGTGAATATAACCGGGTAAGTATAGTCAATGGTACATTATTCTTTGCGGACGATCACGCGTGCCTGCACTATGTTATATGTATGTACATGTATATATGTATATATGGTCTGCGTAAAACCGTATAGTTTTCAGAAACTCGTATGCGTGAGACACGTGAATTACGGCTTGGCTACTCGTTTTTTTCTCGATCTGTGATATTTTGATTATGCTGCCCGACAAACCCATAGCATGGTGCTGCAATATAAAATGATAAGATCACCCACGACCAAGTCTCGCTGACAAATTAACGGTCATTAGAAATCACTAGCTACAATTATTATTATTTATGGTTTATGTACACATGGTTACATTCTTGTCGCCATGGAGTCTTACGACCAAGAGCTTTGCATTGTAATTAATCGAAGTCGCAGTAAATATTCACGACTGTTCCAGCTGATGAAGAATTTGAAAAGTGGCGGGAAATTCAAATATTTATTTTTGACCAAATCGCCATATTCTCATGGTTCGCGAGATTTGTCATTTGATAAAATTTTTTACCAACTTATCGCTGGAAAAACTAACCCCTGTTCAGGGGATGGTAAAAAAAAAAAAGAAAAACGTAAAAAGTTTTCAAAAAACGGACACGATCTTTCGATGTAATGACTAATTAGTAATAATTAACGATCGGCGGTCAAGTTTTGGCCCGGTAAAAAGTTTAGGATATTCTTGCAGCCAATTGGCGAAATATTTTGCATAATGGCGAACGATAACGCGTTATACGAAAATTGCGATAGGATCGCGCGTAATTTTTTATAAACATTTATGAAAACGACTAATGTGCGTGCGCGAATAAAATTTTCTCGACGCCTCACGAAACGATACTTTGTCGTACAAGCAGCTGATACCCGTGTATCCGTATCTTGCATTAGCACGCACACGAATTTACGAAATATTTAAAACAGGCATGTAAAATAATTAAACTTTTTTTTAACCATAATTAAAAATATATATAATACTTAAAAAAGCTCCTCCCGATAAGTCATGATAATAAAGCAGATCACGTAAATTGTTAATTAAGAGTCATTAAAATGATAATCAATCAAAATAATACAGACGAGTCATGAAGAGTGCTAAATATTCAGCATATTCCGTGCGCTTAAACGTAAAAGGCCAATTACCGTCCCGTTAGAGGAAACGACACAGGCGAGTACAAGCGATCGCGTAATAACTTCCACATCGTAAAAAGCTCGTAAAGCACTTAACACGGGGTCATTTTGGTAAAATGGCAAATAATCGAGACGTTACGCATTATAGCACGAATGAAGATGCTCTAAGGAAATCGCGTATATATCCATATGTATAAATCCGCATGTAAAACCTCTTGGTCGTAAGAATACTTTTAGTGTTTCTTCAAATATCTTCATGAACCACAGCTTCCGGTACGTCCGATGCATCGGATGACTCTTGAGTCCGTAATTTGATTAATTTCATAAATATTCTTTCTCTTGGTCGCGCGCAAGGCTCTTGACATAGACGAATGGCCGAAGGATGAGGTATATTCGTTAATTAGAAAAAGAGTGAGGATCGATACATGGTAGGATGAACGCTCGTTGTGTCTAGATGTCACCGTTTGGACGCCATTGCGATATTACGATATTATGATCCGATGGATTTGTTACATGCTGCTGACATGAGTATTCTCAATTGCATTGGTCGTATGACTAGAGAGACGTAGAAATCGATTTTCTGCTTGTTTAATTAGCACTTAAGTTACACATTACGGTTATTCGTTTACCTTAGTTCGAAGCATGCTTAGAATTTACTTATGTGGAGAATACATCATATACACAAAACACGGTTAGATCAATGCTTATGGATTATAGGCTCGCGTATGTACAGAGCGCGAAATAGGATTTTCCTCTTTTTCTCTTAAAATTTCACTGCTCAATAACTACAACGACGCTTCCTGCACTTCACGTTCCTCATACGCGTGTGATGCGATTGGTGGGTGTCATTTGCATAGGATCTATCTGACTTTTTTCAATTTTATGTCATTTTTTAATAATCCGATATATAATAGCTCGAGGTAGACTCTAATCGGAATTTCAAATTACGTAAAACGACACCAAGAAGAACAAATGATAATGATAAAATATTCCTAGGCTCGTACATTAATTAGAGCTTTTGACTCAGGAATTAAGAGAGTTCAGTATATTTTATTTCCTTCGTATTTCTATCTCTCTCATTTATCGTTATTTTATGTATTCTCTCTCCTTCTTGTGAAATAAATTAACCAAGACCTTGCACACGGTCTCTTTAGTTTTCTTGGATTCAATGTACTGGAGCACCGAGGCAATTTCCTTTAGCGAAGCAATTAAACTGATGGTCTTGCACAACTCTCGCGCAAACGCATGCACACGCGTGCACACGCGTGCACACGCACGTTAAAGAAAGAGAGGTATTGCCGGTTTTATAAAAAACAGGAAACGTCGTTGTGGGACGCGACAAATTTACGAGTTATTGTATTATTTCTTTTTTCCAATTTTCTTTCCCCTTTCTCTCTCTCTCTCTCTCTCTCTCTCTCTCTCTCTCTCTCTCTCACTCACTCACTCATAGTGCCTCTCTCTTCCTTTACTATTCAACACGTTCAACTAACGCGTCTCCATATACGCTCGCACAGCCTATACCTAGTATTGCATTTGATTGTTGATACGCAAGTGCTAAAGAGAGGCTAGGAAAGTTGCTAAAAAAATCATAAGTAACGTCATTACTTGTCAATTTGACTTTTCTGTTAGGTATTGCGAAAACTAGCAATTTCTATACTCTCCATGTCACTTAATGTATTTTCATACAAACAGATAATCTCTTATTTTCACTCTTGTATACGTTTCACTCTCTCTCTCTCTCTCTAGCTCTCTCATTCTGTCTCCCTCTCTCTTTGCATCTCTCTCACTCTCTCTTTCTTGACAAGACTTATTTACATAATATTTACAAGAAATTCGCGACAAACAATCCTGACCCAGTCGAATCGAGGAATTTCACATTGACAAAACTTTTGTATGAATCAATCACTAAGAATGACGCGATTAGAAATGTCACGTGGTCGCAGAAAAGAGTCAATTCTTTTAAAATAATCGACTTATCGATACTACAATTATCATCTTGGGAAGTGGTACGCGTATTCCATGATTACGACAGGACGAAGGAATCCATTGTCGCAATAAGAAATTCTTCTTTAACTCGAAGACATTATTGCATCGTTATTCAGTTCGTTCTCCGGCCAACCAAGGTCGTCTAATACAGTAATTACAGGACACGGTATCGGCATCATTAGAGTAGAGTAGAACGTTCATCCGCTTAATGAAAACCGCGCCGCGCCAAATTAATACGCACGTATTGCTAATTGCGAGTCGTTCGAATACTAGGATATATAATACATTTTATCCACGGGCCTTAATTAATACGGCGATATCGGCTTTAAAACATCCACAATACAAATATCACTCTTGAGCATTCACTTCCCTGTGATAACGACGAGCGGCGTTATCAGCTATTTTACAGTGCCGTCGATGAATATCGGCGGCTGACGTGGAGATTACTCTGCGCATTGAAACTATAGTAGAGAAGTACCTTGGGCTTTTCTCTTGACATTTTCTGTGTTCGTTACGATCTGGACCGAAAGTGAAGAAATTGGAAAAAAAAGACTTGCAAAGAAACTCACAATGGAGGAACGAAAAGGTACCAACAATAGAATTTCGATCTCTTCGATCCAACTGACATGCCCTTCTTTCTTTTCGTTCATATTGAAATTCTTTTTTTCACTGAGACATAATTTCGTAAAATTTATCAGCAAATCTGTACTTTGTCCTGTATATCTTAATTTAAAAAAAAATCCTTTTCGTCTTCTGGTATTACAAATTTCTCCTCTCTCTCTTTCTATCTCTCTCTCTCTCTCTTCGCTTTATCAACCCTTTTCGCATCTTCGAAGATAATCCACTTCCTTCTCGCACATATCGCGCTCTAGCGCACTAACAATACGAGGAATGCTAATATTCTAATGTAAGCGGTACAGTCTTTTTTCTCCGTGTCGTACTCGTCTTTGAAACCTTAAGCTGCGTTTCTACGTTTCCTCCAGTTCTTTCTTATCTCGCGACTAAACCTTCTCTCGTTCGTAATTTTTTTAAAAACTTTTCTTACCACTCTCGTTACCGTCATTCAGCCGTGGCTCTCTTATTTCCATTTTACATGGAGAGCGGAGCGAGCGCGATCTTTTATTAAAAAATATTCAACGATAAAAAGAAACAAGATAAAACCTTCGCGACATTCGAGAGTCCTCGGCGAATTTATGAAATAAGTCTTAGGCCATCGATTCTCAGCTTTTTTCTTATCATACGTACTTTTACACTTGATTTACTTTCACCGGCTTATCGATCCTCGTCTCGTCGCAAATATCATTCGCTTTTGCCTCCTCTATTTTGCTTTGTACTATTTTTCAAATAATTTTACTGCATCCCGCAAGATCGACTCGCGGCGAATCGATCTTGGCTCTCGAGAATGAAACTTATTGCCACGATAAACGATAGTTACAACAGACTCGGCACGCGCGTCTATTGGGAAATACATAGTTATTACGTGTACGAGTTAATTAAAGCTTTAAAATATCACTAGCCGCAAATTATTGATATACAAAGTTTGTAACAATTTGATTCGATTCGCGCCATTTCCTTAGCTTTTACTTCAAGTTCTTGAAAACATTATGAAAAATGCCTTAAAGATATACGAGAGTCCATTACGATCACCGAGAAGGTGAGATTCCCTTTAACCGTACTTCTTTCTTCATACTTGGCGTCCGATTGAATCAAATTTCAGTCTCTCTTTTTGCAATTTTATTCAATTTCGCTTGTTTCGTTAATGAAAATCAGATATATTTGAGATTAGTCATTTAGCGACGCTCGGAAATATGATTACTCTCCTTCAGAAATCTCTGTCTCCTTGTTATCGTTCTACGGACTCGCTCGCTGTCGAATCAGCCGTCAACGGCGTCTCGATGCTCACGCGACTCGCATCGTTCGGCTACGAAGCTCACTTAAAGCTAACTTTGGCAATACGATACTGTGATCTATGCGGAGATTGCAAACATTTAATTTGGCAATATTATTTATATCTCGTGATGCTGTCGTTACTTTATGCGCATGAAATGGGGTTGCTTTCTCTTAAGTTAAAATTAAGGGGTGGGTGGGATTTTCGAAGGATAACTTAAAATCTAAATTTGGTTTCGTCTCAGAGACTGCTCCCGAACTCGCTCGATCTTCTTCGATCTACTTGCTTCAGATAAGTCTCCGTGTACATGCACTTTGTTCGGTCATCGTACCTGAAGCAGAGACGAAAAAAAAAAATATCACATTAAAAATCACAATTCCCTAGTTACCAACAGTAACGAAAAAAGCTCTAACCGATAAAACTGTAAACGGCACGATACCAACGATTAAGAAATGAAAATCTGATGATGATATCAAGAGAAAAAAAATAGTATTTTCAATTCAAAGAGAAAAAAAATAAACAAAGATGAAACAAAAGAACGATAATGTACAAGTAAACGTTATGTAACGGATAAGTAATAATAATAATAAAAAAAATAAAAACAAATTCAGCAATGCATACCTCGTAGCTCGCAATCAGACCAGATCGTACCTTAACGACGGCCGCCGAATTTCCAATGCATCCAAATCCGACGGTTCTCTCCTGCAGAGAGAGCAGAAGGCGCATTGCAGAGTATTTTTGAAGGCCTCCCGGAAGTCCCGATTAAAATACGCATAGATCAGTGGATTGAGGGCCGAGTTGGCGTATCCGATCCAGAATAGAACGGCTATGACTAAATCAGGACACGGACAGGCCTTTCCGCACAGGGACGTGGTGACGTACCAGAGGAAAAAGGGTAGCCAGCACAGTATGAAAGTGCCCATGATGATACCAAGCGTTCTGGCAGCTTTGTGCTCCCTCTTCATCTTCATCATGTTCTTATCCTTGGTCGGGGTGTGAAGATGATCCGTGCTGATCTCGTTAAGAGTCAAGGTCTTGGACGAGCCACCGCTATTCAGTTCCCCGTTAAGATTATTAAGGTCCTTGCTCGGCCTATGGCTGAGCAGCATGGCGTTTCCCATTCTGCTGTGCATTTGCTTCTCCTGCCTGTTCGCTTCCTTGAAGATGGAGAAGTAGGTCAGGGTCATGATCGTGCACGGTATCCAGAACGATATGCTGGACGACAGGATGGCGTAGCCCTTGTTGACTTTGAACTCGCAGAGCTCGGGATGCTTGTGACGATGTTCGCTGTTCTCCGTGGTGGTGTACCAGCCGTTGAAGATCGGCACGAAGGAGATGATCGCCGGCGAGAGCCAGCAGGCCATCAGCATGAAAGCAGCGACGCGTTTGGTCATATTTATCGGATACTTGAGTGGCTTGACGATCGCGTAATAACGATCTACGGAGATGCACATGAGATGAAGAATGGAGCTGGTGCTGAAGTAAACGTCGAGCGAGTTCCACACGTCGCACATGAAGTAACTGAATAGCCACCTTCCGGTTATCTGTACGCTGGCGTTGAACGTCATGGCGAACATGGCTACCAGCATATCCGCTAACGCTAACGACACTACAAAGTAGTTCGTGATGATCCTGAGCTTCCGGTGTCTCATCACCGACACCATCACGAGAAGATTGCCAAAGACAGCAGTCACTATTATCGAGCCTAATATGCATCCTTTCAAAATGGCTAATGGCACGTCCGGCCATTTCTCTTCCATCGATAACGTCCCGTTTGCCAGTGGGTCCTCCGACGTCGTCACGTCGAACGAATCCGTGGATGAGAACTCGACGTAAGGCTCAGCCGTCATCGCCATTCTCGATTCGCCGAGGAGGCCCTTCTCACGTTCTCGCTCGTGGAAACTTTTACCGGAGGCTTTAGGTCACGGACGTATCCAGCAGCCGACCCAGCAGAATCGCCCTCATCTTTTACTGGGTCCTGCACGATTGCCTCTGGCGATTCGCTGCGATGGGGACGACACCCTATTCTATAATCTTCTTATTTTCCTCGATTCTTCCCTTTTCCTTTCTTCGCACCAAAATATTTCCACCCCCAATTTTAAAGACTCTCAGTCACCCGCTGGTCAGTCTGGCTCGCGCAGTTGGACGATCTGAAAATAAAAATCAGATGCGTCAGTCAAATGTGAACTGCCTGAATATCGGTATAGACGGGTGCTGGGAAAATTCGTAAATACAATTGGAAAATATGAGAGGGTGTGTGTTTTCGACTCTTCCACGTATTAAAATCGATTGAATTTTCTTCCATCCCCCATATAGGTTTTGTATGTTAATTCATACGTATATTTCTCGTTCGTGGCTGGTTAATACGTGTCCGTACGATTTCCAGTGGCGGGAACGAAAAGTTTATTTGAATTGTCGTCATTTCAAATAAGGACAAACGTACAAAGACTTAGTGTAACCTTGAATACAGGGCGCAGGCTATATCGCGGCACGGCTGCCAGCGTGTCAAGTGCAACCTCGCTCAAGCGAGTAATTTATAATCCGCTATTTTTGAGGTTACATTTGGGTCAATTACCGGTCGGAAGTGCCAGGGGCGAATTGGCATTTCGAAATTTAGCGTTTGCACTTTCGAAGTGATGAAAATTTTTTAATTCAGACAGTCATCGTGTATACTGAATATATTCAGTAGAAACGGGTATAAAATTTTCATAATATTGCATTACATTTAAATGGTAAGTTCGATTGGTTCTAAGTGTGTATGTAATTTTTTTTATAAGCCAAATAGAAATTTTTTTAATACCTCTTTCAGGCTACTCCAAAGTATTCCCAAGACGTAACTCGGGATAAATCGGTACTTTCCGGCCATACCGCGTACCTATTTGCAAGTAACGATAAGCTGCGACAAACTGTATAGCTAGGGGTTGCCGCGAGCGCGAATATAAATCTCCGATTTCCATTGGTATTCACTCTACGGCAGCCCTTCCGCATTATAACGTGACGCCCTTCTTAACTCTAACCTTTTCCATAAAACGTATATAACCTGAAAGTTGTCTTGTTGGTTCTTGGTTTGAGAGCGGTTGTTTGGCCACCCCCTTTGAGAAAGGAATCCGAGGGGTTGGCCCATCGAGGCAAACGATGCAAAAGGTCGAGCCTTAAAATTCCTATCCTTATTTGCCATGAGGACATTTTTCGGCGAGCAATCGGAAAATAATAAATCCACCATTGGCTGCTTTTGGAATCGATAAGAATCCACGATTCGCATAAAGCTCTAATACGATAAGATAAAACCACCGGTACCCTACTCGGAAGGAGATTTTTTTATTAAAGTAAAGGAGGAGCCTTCTTGTAAAATTTGTCTATCGAAAAGTTAAGAAAGAATCGAGGCATTATTTTGAAAATTATTGTTTTTTAGTCTTGAAGTTAACCTATTGTCAGAAGGGGGGTATATAGTAAAATAATTTATACTTGTAATTGCCCGCATCGCTTCTGGTATTTATTGAGCTTGAAAGAAATTGATCGAAAGCTCGGTTAGCTGTCGGCGATTAATCATTGCTTGGATCGTGATCATTGTGAAGGCGCCCTTATCTTTTTCTCGGTGAACTACGACGCCTGGCTTTTAATGATAAAGCTTCCCAGACCGTGAAAGAGGCGAGGCATCCCGTCGAAGAAGAAATAAATCATAAGCTTTAATTAAGTAATATTTCAGGGTAGAGTCTAGAGGGTGATCTACCCCAAAGCTGATATTGATATTAACTCCGCCACCCCGACTGTGTTACAGCCACGTTGCCACTTGTATTATAACCGAAGGATTAAATTTGGCGAATTCGAAGTTTTTTTTTTTTTACAAGCACAGAAACCCCGACGATACGATCGAGACACGAAATTTTTCGCATGCAAATTTCATCGACTCGCGCTAATATTTATTGGATGTTCCGCCCGTAAGCTCTCCTATCTGTAAAGTAATCTCTCTCAAAGTACGAAAAAGGAGGAAGCCCACTGCACCGGTGGTATATCGACCTCGAGAAAGCAAACTCGAGCAGTATATATACCCCCTGGATACCGTAAATATCGTTACTTTTCAAATTTCAATATAATGTTGATAGTGCATACAGTAGGAAATGTAAAGCCAACTAATTTTACGCAATATTCCGGCCGCAGTCTTATGCACCGTTTTTGCTATACTGCGAACGTTTGATTAGAGAAGTAAAAAAATTTTTTTAATTTCCAGCAGAGACGAGTCATAGGAAAACCTGAAAAGCAGCCAAGTATTTTTTGAGAAAATATTTAACTTCGACTTACGTATTAACATTTATTGCAAATCACATAACATTTTTTGTGGTTCCGAGAGAAGCGAACGGAGAAGCGTTGTAACATTCGCAATTATTGTCATTTTCAACTCCTTCTCTGCTTCGTCTCCTCCTCTCCCAGGAGAATATTTAATTCCGCAAACATTCCGCCGGCGAAGCGGTACTACGTGAACGGTGGCATACTACCGAGTAGACCTCGATAAAATTTGCGCGGAATTTCACGGACGTGAAAGAAGAAGAGAAAAAGAGAGGAGAAAAAAGAAAAAAATAATCTCGAGACGGAATGACAATTTGCGTAGCTCATTGAAACTGCCAACACGACAAAGAGGCGCTCTGCTTTTCCTTCCAAGAAACAGATGGAAAAAATCATTCCACCATTTCCAGCCGGTATTCGCAGTAGGAGCATCGTGGACGACTCGGAAGGCGTCGAGTCGCGGCGCGTCGTTGAGATTGGACGTCTCTTAGAAATGAACGCTCTACCCTCGACCTGATACACCTTAGGAAGGTCCCTCAGATCCCTATCGTACTCTCAGATGTTTTATCCCAAAGTCCTTCTGGTCCACGTGAGTCCCTTCGATTCTACCGCGCGATGAGAACTCGCTATGGAATGAGTCCTAAGACGAAGAAACAAAATTCCTTAAAGAAAATTTTCAAAATTACGTTTCATTCGCAATCGTTATCGAAAAAAATTCGACGCTTATGTGATTCAAAAAAAAAATCATAAAGCTCTTGTGCTTCGCGTACAAAAAAAAAATATATATTCAAGATCTTCAAGAAATGTAATTTCACCCCTAAAGAACGAAATACTGTCAGGTGTTACCAAATTGAAAAATTTTACGTCGTCTTACCATATAAAGCTTCGATCCGTTCGTTACGTTTTTCACTCTGGCGAGGCGTATTAATCGACTCACGTTACGGGCAGGCAAATTGCACGAAGTTCGAGTAATACACGTGGAATTCTGAATTTAAGATGGTCAAGGTCGCGGCACCATTTTCTCACCCGTGGTGAAAGTTCAAGATCAATGCCAGCCAGAACGGCTCTCTAGGTTCTAATGAGAATTTCTGGGATATTCCAGGGGCAGAATTCTACGTGCCTACATATCATAACGTCCAACTGGTTGAATTGTTGGTGCCAACCTTGAAGCGTCTCGGAAAAAAAAATTCAATACAGAACGTTCGACTATTCTACCATAGTAATACAATGTTAACGTGCAGGACTCCTAAATGTAACGTCAAGCATACTATAGGCAGTACTTGAGAAACAATTTAAAGCGCTAATCTAAACATCCCTTGTGTTTCTAGTAAGTTTCTAGTGGAGAATCTTCATTCATTGTTGTAGATAACATTCGCTGTCTAATTCGCACAACGTGGGTCTAAAGGGACATATGAATTAGCAAACGAGAAACACTCAATTAACTTTGGACGAGTAACAGATGACTAAGTATCTATTTTGGGGATATATATATATATAGTACATACCGTACAGTACACGGTTAGAATACAACATTATGTAACATTATGACCCCTAGTATATTGTTTACTAAGTTCAAATCCGTTTAGTTACCGTACCGTGCTTAGAAACTACTTTGTGAAATTTACAACACGCGTTACGTACTACTTAGGCAAACATATAATACAGGGTTACAGGGTGATGCAGTTTAAATTCACTATTAAAATGCATAACGGTTCACCATAACTTTTAAGCGGTAACGTAATACATGTAAATAGTGCATTGGCGAATTTTATGCGAAAAGTTATTCATCCTCTTTTTCTTTTTTTTTTTTTTTTTTTTTTTTTTTTTTTTTTTTTTTTTTTTTTTTTTTTTTTTTTTTTTTTTTTTTTTTTTGAAAGTTCTATTCAAATTACGGTTAACCAATATGATGACATGACACCTGTCAAATGCGACTGATGCGTTAAAACCGAGTAGCTCTATAAAGTTCCCAGCGTACCGGGTTTAGCCCGGTGCAAATTGCTTTTTGCTAATTACCCTTGGCTCTTCCGCAATCTACAGTGACTTTGCGGAAAATGGCTTAGCGGGGAATTAACGACAATACGTAAGCGCATTGTCGAAGAGGTACTTTTCTCTTTTTTCTTTTCATCTCGTTACAATGCAATTGCGCAAGGTGATTTAAGACTAAACGCACCGACATATTATATATATATTTCTACCGATGGCTGTCAAATGACCGCTTTTTAAATAAACATTTTAGTCTTTTCCAGTTGATTGTAATTAATACAGAATTTAGCATAGTCGTGCAGTAAGTTCAAGAAAAATAAAAACCTGGAATTTAACCATTTTGATTAAAGTCTCAAAAGCGGTCATTTGACCGCGCTGGTAGGTTTAGTGTTAATTACAATTTAAAAAATGTTCACCCACCCTTTTTCGTTCCGCGTTTTAATTTGCAATAACGTTTTTACATGAAAATTTGGATTCCCCAAAATTTTGCCACGTTACATTCTCATTATTTCAACCATTTATAGTGCGAATTTTTGTCGTGGTTATAAAAAAAAAAATTGTATAACGTGAAATCAACAAATATCAATCTTCAAATACAAATTAAAAACGAAATCAGTACAGTTTCGATGATTTTATTGTAAAGAATATGGTTTTTCCCTTGCGATAAAAAATCAAATAAATCAATAAGATATCGATTTATTGGAATCTGACTTCAAAGTTACACCAGACTATGGAAGGTTGATATTTGAAAGCTTTTAGAGTTAATGTATAGAAAAAAAAATTATAACCATCCCTTCCCTCTTTTTAAACCTCAATATGTTACTATTGATAGCCCC